CAGGAGCTTCCCGGTGTTCCCCGAGTCCATCCCAGCAGTCGTGTTGCCTGGAAAGCTGCCTCCTTCCCCTGAGCTCCCGTGTTCCTAAACACAGAGCTGAACACCCCACTGGGGTGTAAACCCGTGTTTGTTTTCCTTTCAAGTGGGATTTTCTCCGAGGTGGGACCGTGAGGGGGGGCCAGGCCCGACCGCGGGGCTCCTCAGTTCCCCTCGCCTTTGTTGCCCTCCCAGGGTTGTTTCAAGTGATGCCAAACTTGCTGCGTGAAGTGGCTGCCAGGAGAGGGCTTTGCAGGAGTCAGGGAGCGTTCCATGATCTCCCAGCACCGCTCCTGTGGTCATCACCCCTTTTTCTCTGGGCACAGCTCCCCCTCCAGCTCCCACACACACACCAGTGCCCTCCATCCCATACTGGGGCCTGAGGGGAGCTCCCATCTTGGGGAGGTTGTTTCAGTTCTTCCAGTTCAGCCAAATTTGTCCCCGGATTTTCTTCCTCGCCGCAGACAGGGACATCTTCTATCACTTCTGAGAGCTTTAGGGCGTTATCTTTCCTTCTGACTCTTTTTTTTTTTGGACAGTGAGCTGGAAAACGTGTGTCTTCCAGCCTTTCCCACTGATTAATGGAGTTGTTCCTCCTGGAGTTTCCAGTGAGCTTTAAATCTGTTCCCTTTAAATCCGCTTCTCTTTCCAGCTCGTGATCCCTGATTCTATATTTGGGCAAAATCTGCCTGAGACTTTACATGTTTCAGCACAGGGAGGCTTTTCTGTGTCCAGAGTGAGCACGTGGGGGACAGGGGATGGCTCTGGGGGGGACACACACCAGTGCTGTCACTGCGCTCAGTTGTGTCTTTAGGGTTTTGAGCAGCGTCCTGACCTACAATAAATCCTCGTGTTGGAGTTCTGACCATTAATTTGTTGGAATACAAGAAGTTTTCCCTCAGCCCGAGCCGCTGATGCTTCATTACCATCAGACACAACACAGTAAATATTGGATGAGGAGCTGCTGGCGTCCTGCTCCGGCAGTGGTGTTGATTTGCTTCATCTCCTCTCGCTCTCCCAGCAGCTCCTGGGGAATCTTAGAGACACTTCAGGTATCTCTGGAGCACCCAAAGTCCTTCTTCATCATGGAGAGCCTGGAGAGGGGCATTAGGAGGAGAGATACCCTTATCACCCCCCCTGCCCTGGCCCTGGGTGACACTGCTGCAGGATAAAAGCTGCTGGTCATTAGGCCCTGCATTTATTATCGCTCCAGAGATAACACAGGAGGGCTGAGGGCAGGATTTTTTTCCGTGTTGTGAACTTTAAACCCATGTTTTCCTCTCTCCCCTTCTTTCCAGTCCTACTGCTCCGACCCGAGCCTGGTGTTAGACTTGAAGAACCTCATTGTCCTCTTTGCTGACACACTCCAGGTACACAGTGGGTGGGGACCACTCCTTCTCTCACTCCATGGTCCTGCTGCCCACAGATGTGCCCACCACAGGGTTCAACACCTGGTGGGGGCTGGATGTGGTGGCCTGGCTTCTTTTTTGGGGTGTCAGTGCATGGATTGTGGCACCTGATGGACAACCTGCTTTGCTTGGTGCCTCAGAGTGGCCAAGGACCAAACCTTTGATAGTCCTTGGTCCTACCCTTGGTCAATCAGCCCCTAAATCCCTCCATCAGCCCCATTCACCTCTGGGGTGGGGATAGAGGAGGGTTTGCCCATGTGCTCCCTGTTGAATAGAGAAAATAAATCTTCACCTGTCTGTTGGTGGCTTTTTTTCCCCCTGAAGTTTCTCTCTTCCCTCATCCCAGGGCTATGGCTTCCCAGTGAACCAGCTCTTTGACATGCTGTTGGAGATCCAGGACCAGTACAGTGAAACCCTCCTGAAGAAATGGTCAGGAGTTTTCAGGTAAGAGGCTCTTCCAGCAGACCCAGGAGATGCCCCTCACGGAGGCATTTTGGCCCCTAAATAAAATCTTTTGAGGGATTAATCAGAGAATCACAAATGTTTTGGGCTGAAAGGGGTAAAAGCTCATCTTGTTCCACCCCCTACCACGGGCAGGGACACCTTCCAGCATCCCAAGTTGCTCCAAACCCCTTCCAGCCTGGCCTTGGATGCTTCCAGGGATGGGGAAAGCACCATAATTGCGAGTTCATGTTTAAATTTTGGGCAGCAGTAAGGTTCAGTAAGATCCTGGACTTTTCCTGGAGCAGGGAGAGCCAGTTTAAGTAGAGTTGTGGGGATCCTGCCTGTGCTGGACAAGGTCATGGTTTCATTATGGAGCTCACATGGACACTCAGGAGATGGAAGGATGCAAAAATCTGGGGTTACAGTAAAGTTAGTGTGGAAAATGGACATGGAGCTGCTGCAGAGAGTCCAGAGGAGGTGCTGGAGAT